GTCCTTTGAGGAAGACTTAAATTGGATTGAAGAAGCTAAGCCGTGTCTCACTTTCTCGTTTTTATTGCCGGCACGTTGACCTTGCCAAGGCCCTGAGCTCTGAAAGTCACATATAACAATGCGGATGGCTCCGGCCGGCGTACACATTTATTTGACCTATAAACAGAGATGTTGTATAAAATTCCATGTAAATCCGTTTGTACATGTTCGTTCCCAGAAACGTCTCTCGTCCGGGGCGAAAATATAGAGCTTGTTAAAGTGAATGTCACAAAGGAATATATTACGTCTGGCAGAATCGGGGGCTAGGTTGACCTACATTTCGTCCTTGAAGCCGGACGAGCCGGTCAGGGACTCCTCAGCGCTCTCTTGAATTTTTTTTTTCCCTCTCGCTCGATCGATGCTCTTTAGCACCGGTGTTCGGGGCTCCTTGGAGAAATTAAGGAAATTTGTATTATTCAGTGTATGTAAATTAGAAACTCGACTCGGCCGGCTATTAAGTCTCTCTTACTAATGCTTGCCATTTGTGCAGGTTGGCTACTCAGCGTGAGTTTAAGGCTGGTGAGTTGGTGTGCTGGGGTGTCGTTCATTCTTTATGGCACCCCAACGCACCTTCCCATCAGCCATGTGTTGCTTGAGCGTTTCTCATGGACAGACAGAATAACGTGTGTCTAGTTGTGTCCCTAGTTTTTTTGCTGAATGAGGCAGGGAGGGTGTGTAGAGAACACTGCACCACCAGACACGAGAGTGATGCCACCCTCTGCAGGCTCTGCATCTCCCCACCTGGCTCTTAGCAACCCGGGACACTCTGGCCGTTGTCCTGCCCAGCCGCTGGCAACCAGTGGTGTTACTGGTTGCCTGGAGCTGGGTAAGAGGCCAGCCAGAGTGTCCCAGGTTGCAAAGAGCCAGGCGGGGAGATGCAGAGGCGACAGAGGGTGGCGTCACTATTAGTGCCTGGTGATGCAGTCTCCTCTACCCACCCCATGCCCCCACATCAGGCGGGGAAAAAAAGCAGTACTGGATTTGTGTTATCGTCCCATGCACACAGATGTTCTATTTTTAATTGCCTAATGTGGGCTGCTATGTCTATTATTGCATCACCTACTGTATATTTACAGTTCTCAAGTATGATCAGCCATGTTGTGCTTTTCAGGGATCTTGTGTTGTCCGGTTATGAGGCTATCTAGCGCAGGGCGGCAGTGGCTTCTCTGTTTCCTATGCAACCTTGAAGGGGCTGGGGGCAATGGTCCCCTTTACACCCTCTTCCTCCACTAGCCATATGTCCGCAAAGCCTCTCCATGGCCAAAATGGCTTTACTGTCTATTCCAAGAACTTCAGTGAACAGTGTTTGCAACTAAAATTTCACTGTCCCACTCCTGTCATTGTAGAGAAACAACAACTCTGTAAAAAGTTACATTATGAGGGTATCATGCGGCTAATGGTCAGGACCGTGTGGGCATACTAGATGGTCTCCTGACCAGTCCAAGGCTGTGTTCACAAATGCCTGAAACAGATCATCCCCGCTGCAGCCTTTTACCTTGCTACAAAGTTACAATGTTGCAGTCTGATCACTGGGGGACTGGAGACTGAGGAAATGCTTCCTCCTTCTTGCAGCAATGTGATCACTGGGGAACTGGAGACTGAGAAAATGCTCCCTCCTGTGTGCAGCAGACTGATGGCAACATCTCAACCTAGGCAAAATCAATGGACTGGAGCTCAAGGATGGCTTTTTTAATGATAAAGGTGAAGCTTTTCTGAAATATGATACTGTTTCTGCACATTGTTACACGTTTTCATTCAGACTTATAAGGTTCCCGAACCATCCAGTTTAAATACACTGTCTACAGAATGGACCCTTTTATCATATATCTCGCTACCTCATGTTAAATAATATTCCGGCTCCTCTCGGCACAGATGACACGTGTAGTCGATGGCCCAATAACTTTTCAATTACTTGACGTCTTCTTATCATTCTGCATTGAAGGCCCTGCCGCTCCGATCTATATATAGATATTCAATTTCCCAATTTCCATATATCATTTCAGCCATAAGTGTTTATTTGTTATTAAACCAAGCCTGTATATTAAATCACCATCGTCCTCCTCGCACTTAACGACATCAACCGCTGGGTGAAGAATTGCGTCAATATGTTACAATTGCCTTTGCCCTGTTTTCAGGGTGAATATTATGGTTATGGTTTTATGGCCGATCTGTATAAGAAGTCAAATGAGCCTGGGTTTCTAGTAGGGGAGGGAGAGGTCTCATCTCAGCCTGCCATATCATGGGCTCTAGATATGAAAGGTTGCTGAATAATTACCTAGGGATGTAAAAAATAGACATACGAATATAAAATATGTTTTTGGTATACCTTTATGTTCTATGAAGGCTTTACTGTGCTACACACTGCAATTCCCTTGATGGGCATTTTGATTCCTTGAGTCCTTTCTCACCATAACCTGTATGACTATCCTGTCTTGTTGGGTCCCAAGCGCGACTCCATATAAGTCATGGTTACCATACACTGCACTGATGATGGCCAAGAAACCCAACACAGGTGTATGCTGTCTGGAGTAAATGGCTTTATAATATTGGGCTATGTTATACGTTTACTATGCTTCAGCAGTTCTGGATGTCATGTGGCTTTTTTATTCCTTGAGTCCCTTCTCACCTTAACCACTGCTTTATGCCCTATTGGCCACATGACATTCAGAACTAAAGGAACATAGTGCAAATATAGCCCAATATTATAAAGCCATTTATTCCAAACTGCATACACCTGAGTCAGGCTTGGTGGCCATCATCCCCATTGACACCATGACTTTTATGGAGTTGGGCTTGAGATTCAACAAAACAGGATAGCCATACAGGTCTGCATACACTGTCCTGAAATGAGGAATAATCCTCTTAGTTTAGGGGTATGTGATGGAATGAGACACGAGAATTCCTTCTGCTCTAAGAAGACTTTACTTTGCTATATACTGATTTGATTGAAGGGTCTTTTGATTCCTTTAGGCCCTTCTCACCATAACTTGTATAGTTATACTGTCTCGGGTCCCAAACCACACACCTTAGAAGCCATGGTTTCAATACACTGCACTGAAGATGACCAAATGAACTGAAACAGCTGAATGCATGTTGGAATAAATGGCTCTGTCATATAATATACACCAGGTCCAGTGGCGTATCCAGGGTATGGCACATGCCCCGGGTGCCCCTTGAAGAGGGGGCGCCACTCCATGCGGCAGCGAAAATTTGCCAACTCATACTCTCCCATCTCCCCATCAGGCTTTTAGCAACCAGGAACATTCTGGCCGGTGTCTCACCCAGTTTCTGGCAACCAGTGAAGACAGCGGGGTGGGATGCGTCCCAGGTTGCTAAGATCTGGGCAGGGAGACTCTTTTCAGTGTGGGATGCTCTGGCCATCTTCCCAGCAGGCGGAGAGATGTTTATATGGGATGGACGCTGGCCATATCATCTCAGAGCATCCCATGGCCCTTACACATCTCCCTGCCCAGCTCCTTGCTACTTGGGATTCTCTGGCCAGCATTCCACCCAGCTCCTGGCAACCAGTGACATCACTGGTTGCCAGGAGCTGGGCAGGATGCCAGGGGTGCAATTTGTTGTAGATACTCCTCTGACCAGGTCCCACCCTTCTATTTTAGTATTCCTGGTAGAACTTTTAAAGGAAGCGCTCAGGCTGTTCATTTTGTACCATATCATCTCATCAGGCAAAGGGGCTACCGGGAGCTTCTCAACCCATTCTGCACAAATACAACTACCAAAGTATTACAGGGGACATCATCTTACTAGGGCACTTTGGTGAGGGAGATCTCCTTTTATTCTGGGTAGATTTCCTCTCACTTTCTGTTGTCTCACCAGGACAGGAAGTGAGAGCAAATCTTCCAAGTGCAGACATAGACACAAGTAAGCATATCATCAGAGGTTCTTTCCCTTCCCTGGTTTGGCATGGGGTGCCCTGGCAAGCAAACATGGCTCACTGATTTATATGTAACCCTAACTCCTTTAATCTATATCCCCCTGAATGTTTGCGGTTCTCACTTATCCAGGTCATGGTAGTGCTAATATTAGTTAGTCATATCCAACCAGACTTGTTCTGTGATGCTGACACTTTGTCGATCATCCAAGCCACTTCAATTCAAGTGAGCACCAGGAAGATACACCAATATTTATACCCACACAAGTAGCACAGACATCCTTATTCAATCTCCATTGAATGTGTCAAGGCAGATGTTGATTGTGCAAGTACAGGCTTGGAGATTTGAGAGTTGTGGAACCACCCTGTTTCAGTTGGCATGTCTGCATAGGTGGTAATCCTTTGAGTCACATGGCTGAAGTTGGCAATTGTTATCAAATTGCCAGGGTAGAGATGTTGAAACAGAATTATATGTGATAGACAGGCAGTGTTGAAGGCCCCTACCCCTGTTCCTGGATGGTTGTTGCATTTTGTTGTAAATGGCCTTTTTCACACTACTTCCAAAAAGAGAACAACTGGTTCAGAAGAAGTGTGCAAGAGGCCATCTATGTCAAACTGGAACAACCATCCCTGAACATGGAAGGGAGCTCTTGACACCTTCTAACTTTCAAATGTAATGCCGTTTTAACATATCTACCCCGATGATTTGACAACAACGTACACCTCCATCAATGTGACTTGAATGATTGACACATAGACAGACTTCTTGGCAACAAGAATGGGATTATCCAACTAGAACATGGTGGTTCCACAACGTTCACACCTTCCATCCTGTGCTTGGGCAATCAACAGCTACACATTCCATGGTGCTTGGATGAAGATGATTGACTTATCCACCTGACACTCATTAAAACTGAAGAAACAGCTTGGAGATCTTACAAAATGACTTCAACATCACCGAACAAGTCCAATGGAATGTAACGGAATGTTTCTGAAGTCCATGTGCTGTATTGTACTGAGCAGTTACATGCATCTGATTACTAATACTTTGTTACCTTTGTTTCCACAGCACAGAGCCCCACCTCGGCAGACCCCCTGCAGCAAGCCTACGCCGGAGTGCAGCAGTACGCAGGTCGTTAGTATTAACACTTTCTCCTAATAATTATCTACCTCTGTCTATAAAGGAACCCGGCAAGGGTGGCAATAAGGGATCTTCCTAGGCCGACATGTATCCAGAGTGTACATTCTGGGGCTCCTGTCATCCCCATCATAGTGATTCACTGAACTGGAAGAGCCAGCAGCGCAGAGTCACTGGCTGCATGCCTATTCCCCCTCAGTGACTGACTTGGTGGTGGATCAGGATGACACCACCTGAGACAAGTCAGCCACGCAGCTCCCATATTCCTTTTTTGATACATTTTTCTCTGTTCACGTGTTCACTTTAAGCCTCATAATCATCCATTCCTTCCTGCTCTGTTTCTAAAGAGTAAGCAACTCAACGTGTTGTAGGTGGTGTTTAAAGTGGCTCCCCATCCACAGTTTTAATAGCAGTGATGCTATGACATTGAGGGAGCTGTCCACATTAATTAAGGCTGAATGTAAAGGTAGATAAATAATAAATATTGCCGAGCTCCTTCTGAAAATTCTATTGGCTTGTTGTTTTGAGCCTCCGGACTTAAAGCCCAGCTAAAGCCATATTGGTCATGTGATGACTCTGATCCAAAGTTGTTGTTTTTTTAGCTTTGGATAGAGTCAGAAAGATTTAGAATAGTGGCATAACTATAGACATAGCAGCCCACACAGCTACTATGGAGCCCAAAGGTGAGAAGGGGGCCACACTAGGGAGGATGTCTGATATCTCCATTCCAGAAAAGCTGATGTCAGAAATGCATGATCATGCTTTGGGATCAGGCTGTTGCTAGTCCATCCCTACTGTCTGTGTGTAGATGAATTGTCTTTAGAGCTTCTGGTCATCCAGGCCAGCACTTTGGTCAACCCTGTATACCCAACACAGTGTTACTGAGACTGAAAAATCCCAATGGAAGTGAGGAGACACAGAAAGGAATCATATTCTATTAGAGGTTCCTTGCTCTACAAGAAAATATGTTTTAATTGCCAACTCCAGTGAAGTCCACCCAATGCAGATTCATGTGATGGGATGGACCAAGGGCAGGACTGAGTCTAGCTGTGCAAGTTGGAATAAACAACTTTTCAACATGACTTCTAATGTGCGGCTGGATCTTTTTTACTATGGGGGTGGCAACAATTCTGCCCTGCTCCTGAATTCAGAGCAGAGCTGTCACTCGCATGTAGAATGTGCCTGCTTGCACTACAGTTCCAGGAACTCGGCAGTAATGGTGGGAGCTCCTCATAATGGGAACAGCAGGTGTACAGACCCGGGAACTCAGCACATGGATGATGGAAACTAAGGATGCACCGATACCGATACTAGTATCGGTATCGGTGCCAATACCAGGTACTTGGGCGAGTACTTGTACTCGCCCAAATGCTCCAATACCTTTCCCGATACCGGAACTTCCAGTCAGAGGGAGATTTCCTCTGACTGGCAGTGCCGCGAGGGAACAAGGAGCCCGCTTCCCAGCCAATCAGGAAGCCGGCTTCCTGATTGGCCGGGAAGTGGACTTGATGCTGTTTGGCCAGCTCGATGCCGACTAGTGAGGAAGCTGGTTTCCCAGCCAATCAATATTTAGCCGGCCAAACAGCATGGAGCCGCCTTTCCGGCCAATCAGGAAGCTGACCGGCGGGTAATGTTTCCTGATTGGCCAGGAAGAGGGCTCCATGCTGATTGGCTGGAAAGCAGACTTCCCAGCCAATCAGCATCAATCTGGCCAAACAACATCAAGTCTCCTGGCTCCCTGATTGGCAGTAAAGCCAGCTCGATGCAATCAAGAAACTGGGCAGCGGGTAATGACAAGCTGCCCGGCCTCCTCATTGCCCGGGAAGCTGGCTCTATGCTAGCAGAAGCACCAGTATCAGTACTCCGTATTGGTGAGTACCGAAATATAAATATTGGTATTCGTAACTCGATACCAAAAAAACGGTGTCGGTGCATCCCTAGTGGAAAACCCCCATAATGGGAACAGCAGGTGTAAAAAACCCAGGAACTCAGCTCAGGGATGGTGGAAGACCCTCATAATGGGCCTAGCAGGTGTGCAATCCCGGGAAATCAGTGCAGGGTTCATAGGAACCCCTCATTAAAGGGCACAGCAGGTGTGCAGACCCAAGAAATCAGTGCAGGCTTGGTGTGGACCACTCATAATAGGCAGAGCACGTGTGCAGACCCCATAACTCCCCACTATAGTACCCCAGAGACTGTCAGAAGGGTTTGTTGCTCCAGCATCTACCAACTGAAACGTTTTCTAGTGCATTAAACTGCCCTTCAGATTCCTTTCAGAAGTATCAGTCTTGGTTGGAGTGGTCATATACTGTATATATCATAGTTGTTTTCCACATCAGAGAACCCCAATCCGCAGCATAATAGCATCATCCCCCGTGTATTAACCCGACACGTGCGGCTGCCAGCAATGTATTGGCTTTATTTTGGGCTGAGAGGTAATTCTCTGTGACCTGAAGTCTCCAGCCTCAGCTGAAAAGCAGCTTTCCACCGCAAGGTCAACGATGGCCCTCGCCTCGTATTGTGTTACATTGTTATAGACGATCCCCTGGCAGCCTGCTGACCCCGGTGTCACCGGGTTTCTAATCTCCTCGCTGACCTTTGCCTGCCAAAATGGCTTTCGGTGAACCACACAATCAAAAATCAATAGCTGTGCCTCGGCGATTGCAAGCGCTGAACATACACCTATTCACCGCACCTATCAGAGTCATTGCCCGCCGTGACATCTCGGTTATGGCTCCCGAGTAGAAGAGACAGTCAGAGCAAATGGGAACTTTGTATGAAAAAAATGATCCTTGCAAGAAAGTGAAATATTCACACATGGGCCTATGAAAAGGGCATCGATGATGTGGACAGGAGGACATTTACCCAGTGCGGCCAAAATATAAAGTGGAAATGTCACCAGCACACCATAAGAATTCAGCAAAAGTCCATTTAATGACAAATTGCCATTCAATTACAAGCGCTTTCGGGGCCTCAAGGGTACCCCTTCATGAGCCTGATAAATGGGTACCTTTGAGGCCCCGAAAGCACTTGTAATTGAATGGCAATTTGTCATTAAATGGACTTTTGCTGAATTCTTATGGTGTGCTGGTGACATTTTTGCTAGTTTTGAGTTGTTCGTGGTGCCGTCCGTGGTCGCTACAAGCACCCACCTGCTTTCGCAGGTACACTATTGTTCCGGTAAGGAGTGCAGCTGGTTACCTACTCCAAAATGAAAGCGGGCCTATCATCAGAAATATTTTTGAATATCAAGTGCACATATACAATGTAAAGTGTCTGTAAAATACTTCCAGGTATTTAGTCCCTCTTACAGAGGTCACAGGACTCCCCCCGACAATGCCTTCATCTGCTTTTCTCTCCAGGAGGATGGAGCCATTTTTGCTTAGCCATCATCCAGGGTCACCATCTACTTCCTGGACTGAGATGCCGGCTCAGAGACGGCACAATTATGTAAATCCTGGTGTCTGTGCAGTTCTTGTTCACAAATATCTGGCACAGATCAGACCCTGCTGTAGCCTCTCACCTTGTCAGTTTCTACATAGTCACAATATAGTAGACATGTAAGCTGCGGAAAAGTTTGGTTCGGTTTGGATATTTCGGGATTCTGATCCGAATTTCAATTTGTTTCGGGTTTCGGATTCAGACGAAATCCGAATTTCGTTCGTTTCAGATGAGTTTACGAATATTGGTTGCGAATACCACAGAAAAACCATATACAGAGATTAATACTAAAGCTGAATCTCCTAGACCCGAATGGCATTCGGGATCCAAATTTCCGAATTGGTTTCGGGGGCTCCCGAATGCCATTTGAGTCTAGGTGCCTCAGCTTTTAGTGATATATGTATATGGCTCCCAGACCCGAATGGCATTCGGGAGCTCCCAAGTGCAATTCGGAAATTCGGATCCCGAATGCCATTCGGATCTAGGAGCCTCAGCTTTAGTATTATATGTATATACTGTATATGGCTCTCATGTTGCCGTAACCAAAATTTGTGTTCAGACCCATTCGGATGCATTAAACCGAAAAACACATCTGAGTGGCCAGAAAAGTCACATGTCCGATTCAGTTTAGTTTTTGAATGAAATTCGGATGCGATCTGAAATTCAGAACGGAAATTCGGATTCGGATGCATTGGGATTTGGAAATCCCAAAATTAAATAATCTTTGGCTATGGTCGGGCCTTAACCTTTTAGACTAACCTAACCCCAAACCATAAACTTAAAATGAATCTAAAGCACAAAGTTTTGGATTGAATAGTGAAGGGTTAGAACCTCTGTTAGCATTTTAATGTTTTCTGTGGACCTGCTGGGAAGATTCACCTTCTCCATTTGCCCAAGTGACCATTGTCACCGTGGTTGGAAAGTCAAAAAAAAATCCAAAATGATGAGTTTTCATTAGAACAGGAACAGAGGAGGAATCTTCCAGTGGGGACACTTGAAGGAGAGATTCCCTCTCACTTTGGAGAGATTTCTGTTGTATCTTCAGGACAGGAAATAAAGGGAAATCTCCCCAATGATACACAGATGGATACAAACAAATAGTCATTCTAACCACTCTATACTCTATCTAAAATGAAAAATAAAAGTTTTGGCTTTAGATACCAAGACAGTTTGGACAATTTCATGCTCTCAACTTTGTGGGAACATTTTGGGGATGGCCCCTTCCTGTTCCAACATGACTGCGCACCAGTGCACAAAGCAAGGTCCATAAAGACATGGATGGGGGAGTTTGGGGTGGAGGAACCTGACTGGCCTGCACAGAGTCCTGACCTCAACCCGATAGAACACCTTTGGGATGAATTGGAGCGGAGACTGCGAGCACGGCCTTCTCCTCCAACATCAGTACCTGACCTCACAAATTGTCCAACATTCCCATAGACACACTCCTAAACCTTGTGGACGCCTTCCCAGAAGAGGTGAAGGGGTTATAGCGGCAAAGGGCGGAGCAAACTCAATACTGAACCCTACGGACTAAGACTGGGATGCCATTAAAGCTCATGTGTGTGTAAAGCCGGCGTCCCAATACTTTTGGCAATATAGTGTATCTTTTAATCTCTTAGGGTCCATAAGGACTTATTTAGTCCAATGTATGCTGCGGCCAAGAAAGTGCAACTTTTTTTTTTTTTGACGTTTTTTTTTAACCACCACAGGGTACCAAAACATATGGTATGCTCATTGCAGGCCACACGTTGTGCATTGGCTGCTACTGTACTCATACATTGGGATGCCATTAACATAGAGCCATGCCCTTTGCAATGCCGAATGGACCCCTAAATGCCCGACCTAAAGGCGAAAAAGGTATTAGCACCAAATCCTTAGAGTCCAACACCGGATGCAAGAGCGATAAGTTGCTCCTCTTAATCTTTCCTGGTTATTAAGCAAAAGGATCGGCATAATACCCAAGCAAATAGCATTTTTAGAAGGAGCCCGGCATGACAGCCTACCAGTCCATCAGATACGAGTTCCTATATCACCCTCTCTATTCACCAAACGTCAGCCAGAAGGAAAGAATTCGCTTTTTTTTTTTGCACTCAAAGCCAACATTGGGATGGGGGAGGGTGGAAAAAAAGATTCAAAATGCATAAAAAATACATTAAAGAGGAAAAAATATGAGTCAATGTTAATTATTTTGCGATCACGGTCGATCACCAGCGGACCCATCTCGGCAGTTTTATTAAACCTGGCATGCCACGCTCGGAAACATAAATATATTTATGCAAGTGAATTTTGTTAGCCCATAAACACTACATTAAAAGGAATGCTTCCGAAATGATTGTGATTACAACAGCTGGCACCGCTCAGGGCCGGCGCCTGGCCAGAGGCGGCCAGCAGAGGGCAGCAAAGATAACGCATTTCCCCATCTCGCAAATTGTCAACGCAGGCATAGAGAATGGTGCTGAAAACAAAAACCTAGTGAAGTGCCAGCGTGAAGAATTGGCATTTAAACCTGCGCTGAACATGATTATAATCTGACACCGTGCATAATCCTTTCCTTTAGCGTTTCCAGAACTCCATCGAATGGCGCAAAAGACGTAGACGAGAGCGGCACGTCACCTAAATGCAGCAATTTGCATCCATTATTCCTGAGTACACGGGATTAATATATGTTATTAAGGGGGTTTTTTGGGGGTTTTTTTTCCCTGTGCCAGATCCCGTGTGCTGTACTGTACTATTAGTTTACAGGGTTTGCACTCAACTGTTGTACAATATAATTGGCAGCTTGGAGAACCGGCAATAAGCTTATAACATGGCATTACACCGCACTGAGCTGCTTGAAGAGGGGGGAGGTGTCAGGTGTGTGGGAGCCAAAGGACTCAAATTAAAAGCTTTTTATTTAAAAAAATGTAAAAAAACAATGAAAGTAACACAAGGAAATTTTCCATGTTCTTCCTTTGCGGAACATGGGTCTGAAAATTGGCATGGGTGGTTATTTGGTGTGGGATCACCTGCATAAACGTTTCCCGCACATAACATTTCTGCAATGATACTTTATATGTTTTCACTGTCGTTTTTTTTATGTGGAACTGGTGGCTTTTGCATTGTGATGTTTCAGAGTTGTAATGATTATAACCAAAAGCATAAAAAATGTCCTCTTATCCTACCCCCAGCCTTTATCCTAAATGCTGAACCTAACCTAAATGTAACCTTAGAGCCAACTATAACCCTCAAACTAACCTCTTAACTTCCACCCCTAAATCCAAACACAACGCAGGAAACGGGAATACTAAATCTAACCATGACGCTAAATTTATTGTTGTACTCAACCTGACTTCTCAACCTAACTGCAACCTTAAACCTCAAGACCTAACCATAGATCCCTACCTTAAACCTTCTTAACCATAACCTGTGAATGTAGCCACAACCTTTTAGACGTTATCTAACCCTCAACCCTAATGCCCATACCCAACAGAAATCCAAAACCAGCAAGTATGGCCACATAACACTATCCCTAACCCTAAAAAAAATTCCTCTAATGCTACCCCCGGACCATAAACTTAAATACTAAACCTAACTGTAACCCCTAAATGTAACCTTAGAACTAACCATAACTCTCAAACTAACCTCTTAACTGCAACCCCTAAACTTCAGAAACCATCATCCTCAACCAAGAAACGTTGCCACAGCCCTGAAGTATAACAGCCTAGGCCTAACTATAACCTTCAACCCAAGCCTTAATTGCCTAACTGCTAGACCTAACTGAAACCTTTAACTCAACCCCTAAAACAAACCATACCCCGCAGCCTTAACCCATAAACTTAGACCTTAATTGTAACCTATGTGAAAACCTTCAGCCTAACTCCTAAACCTAATCAAAATCCTCAACCTTAACCTGTAAATCTAGTCTGAACCACAGCATCTAGACGCAATCCAACCTTTAACCAAGTTGCTGACAGTTTGCCTTTTTTCTTCCTGTTCCCCCAATAGCTGCTTATCCTGCTGCCTATGGACAGATCAGTCAAGCATTCCCCCAGCCACCACCCATGATCCCACAGCAACAGCGAGAAGGTAAGCAAACATATTACATGGAACCATAATTTGAAAATGTTTTTCTTACATCCAGAAGTCAGTCCAGGTAGTTTCAGGTATTAAAGGGGTCTGGTGGGCTCAGTCATCCTTTGTCCCATACGCCTCCCATACTTCCTGAATCGGATCACACCATAGCACTCAACGGGGGGACAAGGCACCCAACACACCCATGCTGATAGAGTTACAGTCTCCCCAAAGGAAACAGGCACAGTAACATAAACACTTTATTAGCAGAGTGGATAAAGGAAAGAGTCTTTGTAAGGTTTTCATTGCTGCCTTTGCCCTTCTGTGCCAGTAACCCCCCAACCCCCCCACCACCGCCACCACCTCATTGTTTTGTACTGGTGTACAGTGGAGCAACAGGCAGCAATAAATGCCATGCAAAAGTCTTAATCCTTCCCTGTGCCATTCAAAAATGAAAGAAAAATAATAAGGCTGGAGTTGAGCTAAAGAATAACTATTACCACCTGTTATCACAACATATTGGTTTTTGGTGGAGTTGTGCTTTTTTAGGACTTAGCACCTCACTGACCCCGATTCTAAGTGAGTTCCGATTGACCCATCTCTTGTGTATTCACCCCGAGAATTGATTAAATAACCACTGTGGCAGATCCATGTTTTCACTCTGTGTTCCGCCTTGGTCAGCTGCCTATCAATTGTCTCTAACCTGCTAATGACTTGTACAGGACACACTTTGTTCTGTCTTACATGGAGCTCTCGCGGCATCAATCTCCGGGCTGCCGGGATGAGCTGAGGTTTAATCAATAGCAGCAGAGCAAGTGATGAGGTAATAGGACTCGGCTGGGAAGAGGCGCTAAGCTGGAGAGAGAGAGATACCTGATTACCGCTGAGCCTTGCTAATAGATGGTGCCGTATCCAGGGCTGGCGGGAATGAACACTCGGAAAATCAAATCAGGCCGCACGGTCCAGTCAGCTGCTGTAATGGTCATGGGCAGAGAAAGAAAAAAAAATGGTATTTTGTTAGAATACAAAAGGCCAATTAGAAGACATATTGACCGGGGAAAAGATTTCAATGAAACTGATTTAGCCTTGGCTAACATTTTATCAAAATTAGTCGTAAATTTTACCCTGCAGACTACTTAGTAGAAAAAACAATTGGTGCTGACATTATGATCACCTAACTTTGTAGGTAAACAAAGGTTTAGGGTTAGTGCTAGGGTTAGCATTAGGGTAGACATTAGAGTTAACGTTACAGTTTGCTTGGGGTTAGCATTAGAGTTAGTGTTAGGTTTATCATTAGGGTTAGCACTGTTGTTAGCATTAAGGTTAGCATTAGGGTTAGTAATAGCAGTAGGGTTATTAATAGCATTAGGGTTAGTGTTAGCGTTAGCATTATTGTTAGGGTTAGCATTAGGCTTAGTGTTAGGGTTAGCATTAAGGTTATCATTAGTGTCAGTGCCAAGGGTAGCATTAAGGTTAGCATTACGTTTAGTGTTAGAGTTAGCATTAGGGTTACTGTTAGGGCTAGTGTTAGAGTTAGTATTAAGGTTACAATTAGGGTTAGTGTTAGGGTTAATGTTAGGAGTGGCATTAGGGTAAGGGGTAGCATTAAAGGAGAACTATGATGTGAGTGCTTTTTACTCATCCTCATAGTTCTAGCCGACCTGTGACAATGAAACTGTCACAGGTCGGCTCAGTAGATCGGGAAGTGAGCCGACTTCTCGATCTTGTCACGGCAGAGAGCCGTGACAGGGGAGGGACTGGATTCCCCCCTCCCCGCTCCGATCCTCCAGCGCTGACTGGCGGAACGGACGGGGGAGGGAGTGGGTACAGCTGGCTCTGCCTCTAGATAGGCAGAGCCAGCTGTTACTCACACAGCTGGGCGAATCCAGACATAATTGTCGGGATCCGTTTCAGCTGCGGCGTCTCAGTATACCGCAAGCTGTAGCTCGCGGTATACTGAGCTTAGGGTGACGGGAGGACGCTAGTTTGTGTCCTCCCATTACCCTAAGGAGAACAATGAGGAAAAGCCCTAACCCCATAGTTCTCCTTTAAGGTTAGCTTTAGGGTTAGATTTAGGGGTAGCATTAAGGTTAGCTTTAGGGTTAGTGTTAGGGTAGCATTAAGGTCCGTGTTAGGCGTAGCATTAAGGTTAGCTTTAGGGTTAGTGTTAGGGTTAACATTAAGGTTAGCATTAGGGTTAGGGTAGCATTAAGGTTAGCTTTAAGGTTAGTGTTAGGGTTAGCATTAGCAGTATAGTTAGCATTAAGGTTAGAATTGGGGTTAGTGCTAGCAATAAGGTTAGCATTAGCATTGGTGTTAGAGTTAGAATTAAGATTAGAATTAGGGTTAATGTTAGGGTGGCATTAGGGTTAGTGTTAGGGGTAGCATTAAGGTTTGCATTAGTGTTAGAATTAAGATTGGAATTAGGGTTCATGCTAGGAGTAGCATTAGGGTAAGGGTTAGCTTCAGGGTTAGTGTTAGGGGTAGCATTAAGGTTAGCTTTAGGATTAGTGTTAGGGGTAGAATTAAGATTTGCATTAGTGTTAGAGTTAGAATTAAGATTAGAATTAGGGTTAATGTTAGGGTGGCATTAGGGTTTGTGTTAGGGGTTGCATTAAGGTTAGCTTTAGGATTAGTGTTAGGGATAGAATTAAGATTTGCATTAGTGTTAGAGTTAGAATTAAGATGAGAATTAGGGTTAATGCTATGAGTGGCATTAGGGTAAGGGTTAGCTTCAGGGTTAGTGTTAGGGGTAGCATTAAGGTTAGCATTAGAGTTAGCTCCTCAATATCTAATAACAAGTCTCCAGTTAACATGGCTTTTTTGCCTAAAAAGAGGAGTTCTGATGGATCTTTTATTTCATGATATGGAGAATGCAACAGGGATATGGATGAGCAACAAAATTAACCAATTTCATCTCTGCTTCAAATTTCACCATATGAACTGCTTAGGTGAAAATATTTTAGGTTAAAAGTACATGGCTTTGTTACTAAACAAAGCCAAGTCATGTGACAGAAGCCACTACATTTCCTTTGAGGTCTAGACAGAAATACATAACGGATTTTGTAAAACATTCTGAAGGAGCTCCCACAGCCCTCAGGAGCCATTGTCAGCCCAGTGCATCCTTAAAAGCCACCTTAATCCCCCCTTCCCCATTGGTTCCAATGCTTTAAGCTAAAACAGGGAGTTGTTTCTAATTTTCAAAGACATTTCGGCAAACCAAAATCTCTCATCGCTCATGCCTAAACTGAAGGAGTGGGGACACCCAAAGGTGGACAGTGACACTCCGGGAAGCGAGCCAGGAGCTATGGCTGCCCCCGGAGATATAAGCAGATGGTTTAGACCACCAGATGCCATCAATCACTTTTGGGTTGACTGACCCCTGAAGACAAAAGCAAAAATCCAGTAAGGTTCCTCTTTCAATCCCCTAATTAAGAATTACCTGAACTCGTTGTGACATTTTCTGTAAGACTGAACTTCATCTTTAGATCTGTTTACAAATTACCATCCAGTTTATTATGGGCAATTATTTATCGTTGTTGGGATTTTATGGAAAAAGGCATCAATCACCGGCATGCAGCCACCTAAATGTCACCGCTGTTTTGCTGTAATCGGAATGGCTCCATTAACTATGCCGTCTCCATTTTATCACTTCCCACATAAAACACGAATTGATTTTATCTCTTATTACTATTTTGGTGGCATTAGCGCACTCCAAAAAATGTATAATTAGCCATGGAGAATAGTTTGGGAAACACGTTACGAGGGTTTCAGAAGGATTGACGTATTGGTGGTGTCATCCTGATGATGAAAGGGGGACGGACCCCAAATTTAAAGGAAAACTGAACACCCTAAATTTGGTTCACAAAGAACCTTTCAAGGTGAGCTATAGTGTGTATAATATACCGCATATGGGTGTATTATATACATTTTCAGTCAAATTGAGTATGGGATGTAAAAAAATTAAAATAGAACTATGGGGTAAGTGTTTTTCCCCATAGTTCGCTTTAGAGTCACAGGAGAACATTTACTAACCTCCTCCCGTTACCCAAAGCTCAGTATATAGCGAGCTATTCCCCCTGATATACTGAGAGCGCCGCAGCCGGGATGGATCCCGACAATACTGTCTGGATCCACCCAGCTGCATGAGTGACAGCTGGCTCCGTCTATCTAGAGGCAGAGCCAGCTGTACCCGCCCCCTCCATGGTTCGTTTCTCCACTCAGCGCTGGAGGATCGGACAGGGGAGGGGGGAAATACCTGCAGGGAGCGGTGACTGACAGTAGTCTGCAGGAAGATGATCGGAAAGTGAGCGAGCGACTGTATGTGTTCTCTCACTTCCCGATCTATAGAGCCGACCTGTGACAGCTTCTTTGTCACAGGTCGGCTCTAACTATGAGGATGAGTGAAAATCACTCTCCTCATAGATCTCCTTTAATAAGCAGGTTACCCTTAGTAGAAACCTCAAGTCAAAATGATTACAAGATCCCGAGCCGAAGTTAAACTATATGGTCAAAAGCTTGTGGACATCTGCCATCACACCTACCTATATGGCCTGAATTATGTGTACACCCCTCCAAATAACTGAGTTCAGGTGTCGCCATTGAAGGAGACTGTTAATGCTACAGCATACAAAGACATTTTGGATGATTGTCCAACCTTGGTGTAACAGCTCAAGGTCCTTTGCTGTTCCAGCTTGACTGTGCCCTTGTGCACAAAGTTGCCTCCATAAAGACATGGCTTGATGAATTTGATGTGGAGGAACTTGAGTGGCCTACACAGAGCCCTGACTTCAACTCTACTGAACACCTTTGGGATGAGTTGGAATGCCAATAGCAACCCAGGTCTTCTCATCCAACATCAGTACCTGACCCCACACATGCTCTTTTGGCTAAATGGGCACAAATTCCCACAGACACAACCCAATCTTGTGGAAAGCCCAGAAGGGTGGAGGCTGAAAAGGGGGGCCAACTCCATATTAATGGCCATAGTTTAGAAATGGGATGTCCAATAAGTTCAGGTGTTGTTCAGGTATCCACCAACCTGTGTCCTTCTTTCCCAACTTTACTAGCCTACCTGTTGGTCCATTAATGGGAGTGGCAGCCTCATGAACCAACAGGAAAGCTTAAGAGGCAGAATGGTGTCAGACTAAATTTCATACAACATTTAAGACTCACATATAACTTCAGATGCCTTTTGACATGCAGTTTTCACCAAAAGATGACCTCAAATTGAAATTTCCCCTCGACCTTAAATTTTTCCTGTGTAGAGAAGCGGGGGAACCCAGTGATGATGTCACTGGGACTAAAATAACGTATGAAATGTAAACATAAAGGTTGATGAGGGGGGAGGGGAGGAATCATGGAAGGCAAAATATGAGCAGATTAAACTTCAGATTTATTTCACCACCATCTCTTTTTTAATCTGCCCTCCTAGAATTTCAGTTATTATCACCCAGAATCTTTTTGACTTGACTTTGACATACGACATGCCACAGAGATCGTCAATATAACCCATGCTGTAATTTCATCAGACGCGGCGATAAAATCTGTAGCGAATCAAATACAATTGGAAGGTACTGTAAATGAAATGAAAATACCGCACAGCGAGGCTTTTCTAAATTGGCACTTTGGTCTAAAAAAGGTTACAGAGTTCCTTAGAAATAGAACAACGGAAGCCGCACTGTGCAGAAGGGGTTACAGAAAATGTTGTCACAGCGGCTTACACTCTCTCGCCCTCCGATTATGAACGTTCTTCACCTTTAAACTTGTGCGAAATGCTGATCACCTGCCCGCTGAGGACTCTTAGCAAATTAGTAGAGAGAACCGCGCTTCGCAAATAGTCATCGCGGCGGCTTCATCTTCTGCTATTAGTGGTGAGCGCATCGAGGCCCCTAATTGTGCTCACGCTGAGACAGAAGAATTCTAATGTTCTTTAAATGGCATCTGTCAGATGCGTCTTCCTTTGCTATGCCAGGTGGATGAATGATGGCTGGTAGAGGGTGGGGAAGGGCACATTTCCTGCGTTGCCCACTCCTCATCCTGCCAAACGCCTACTACACATCCGCTCCTACCTCGCTGAGATCCTAATAGGTTGGACTTGATGGACTAATGTCTTTATTCAACCTCAAATACTATGTAACTATGTAGCTGTAAATGCCGCTCCTGGGGATTATTAACATCAAGTCTTGTAGGATAATATAGCTGTAACTGACTCATCTTGGCCCTCTCCGTCAGTTCTCTGGTTTATAAGCTATCCTCGCATTTGTGGGAATTGTATCCCGCAGTTTCCTTCCAGAATCACACGTAGCTCCTGGCCATTCCGCTGTAAGGTGAGACGGTCCCACTACTGAACCAAAATCTGTCTTCCCCACTTTCCTTTACAGCTACTCTACCATATTAATTGAGGATGTATTTAAAAATGATCGACCAAGGTCTTGGTGGTTGGTAAGGAAATCAACAACTTCTGATCACGGTGAAGGTTTGGAAAGTTTATTTAGAAGAGAAGAGTTACAAAGTAAAGATTACAGCAATGTTTCTCAACATTAAATGTAAATGCAAAATCCCAAGGCACCAGATTCCCTTCTTCACATCATGGGCCCCGTTCACATAAGAAGTCCCCCATTCACGTCAGATTCCCTCTTCACATCAGAAGCCCCAATTCACATCAGAAGCCCCTCTTAACATCAGAGTCCCCAATTCACATCAGAAGCGCACCCTTCACGTCAGAGTCCCCTCTTCACATCATGAACCCCGTTCACATCAGAAGTCCCCCCTTCATGTCAGATTCTCCAATTCACAGAAGTTTCCCTCTTTCACCTCAGAGTTTCCCCTTCCCATCAAGAGCCCCTCTCTTCACATCATAAGCTCCCTTCACATCAGAGTCCCCTTCACATCATGAGCCCCCCTTTCACATCAGTGTTCCCCCTTCACATCAGGAACCATGTTCACATTAGATTCACCCATCCCCCTTTTTCATATCATAGTCCCCTCTTATCACCAAGGACCAAGAATCACAAAGACCCAGTTAAATCATCACTGGGTCTAAAATAAGGTTTTTCATCAATTTAATTTATTTAATTACTTAAAAATATAATTAGCATGCTGATGAGGGGGGAGGGAAGAACCAGTGGGGGCAAAATACTGAACAATCCTCTTTTATCAGAAAATCAATGACTGCTCTTTGTTTCAACCTCTCATCCATGATTCACTTGTTACAATTTAAAAAATAGGAGTGCACAATGTCTGCATTAGACCCTGTGTATGACATACTATGTGTACACACATAAGAAATATGCCTATAAGAACCCAGTAGTAATATTGCTGTATAAGATATTGCTGGGATTTGTATTCCTCTATAGCTGATGGTATTATTCTGCATTACTGTATGATATATTGCTGGGATTTGTAGTCCTCTATAGCTAATGGTATTATTCTGCATTGCTGTATGATGTATTGTTGGGATTTGTAATCCTTTATAACTAGTGCCATTCTGCATTGCTGTATGATGTATTGTTGGGATTTGTAATCCTTCTACAGCTTGGAGTCAGTGGCAGAACTACCTGGGGAGCACCGTTTGCAGCTGCGACCGGGCCCTGGCACTTCACCACTGTCCTAAAATCATTGGTCTGTATTGTTTTAGAAAAACTGTCACATGATACAAAAAAAAATGTATCGGTAATTGGTAGGGATGCACCGATACCAAGTACAAGTACAAGTAAAGATACTTTTTGAGCTCCAAGACTAGACTAGAGAAAAATGCAAAAGTTAGGAGGCGGCTGTCATTTGTAAGGAGCACACGGAGCTCCTGGCATTTGTATATCTCTGTTTTAATGTATGATTTTTTTTTTCTAAATATAAATAAAGTGATGCACCGATACCATTTTTGCAAGTACCGATACTTGTCCAAGTACTCACAGATACAAGTACTGATACATTTTTGTTTATTGTCATGTGACAGTTTTTCTAAAACAATATCGACTAATGATTTCAGGACAGTGGTGGAGCGCCAAAGCCCGGTCCCAGCTGCAACCCTGGTAGTTCTTATGAAAATGTCAAGTATCGGCACTGGTATCTGAAAAGTATCGGTGCATCCCTAGTAATTGGTATCGGCGAGTATTTGAGGAAAAGTATTGGTACTCTTACTTGATCTTGAAAAAATGGTATTGGTGCATCCCTAATATATACACTATATTGCCAAAAGTATTGGGACGCCGGCCTTTAAACTAACATGAACTTTAATGGCACCCCAGTCTTAGTCCGTAGGGTTCAGTATTGGGTTGGCCCGCCCTTTGCCACTATAACAGCTTCAACTCTTCTGGGAAGGCGTCCACAAGGCTTAGGTGTGTGTCTATGGGAATGTTGGACCATTTGTGAGGTCAGGTACTGATGTTGGAGGAGAAGGCCGGGCTCGCAGTCTCCGCTCTAATTCATCCCAAAGGTGTTCTATCGGGTTGAGGTCAGGACTCTGTGCAGGCCAGTCAGGTTCCTCCACCCCAAACTCCCCCATCCATGTCTTTATGGACCCTGCTTTGTGCACTGGTGCACAGTCATGTTGGAACAGGAAGGGGCCATCCCCAAACTGTTCCCACAAAGTTGGGAGCATGAAATTGTCCAAAATGTCTTGGTATACTGATGTCTTAAGAGTTAGTTCCCTTCACTGGAACTAAGAGGCCAAGCCCCACCCCTGAAAAACATCCCCACACCATAATCCCCCCTCCACCAAACTTTACACTTGGCACAATGCAGTCAGGCAAGTACCGTTCTCCTGGCAACCGCCAAACCCAGACACGCCCATCGGATTGCCAGACAGAGAAGTGTGATTGGTCACTCCAGAGAGCACGTCTCCACTTCTCTAGAGTCCAGTGGCGGCGCGCTTTACACCACGGCATCCCACGCTTTGCATTGCACTTGGTGATGTGAAGTCTTGGATGCAGCTGCTCGGCCATGGAAACCCATTCCATGAAGCTCTCTACGCACTGTTGTTGTGCCAATCTGAAGGCCACATGAAGTTTGGAGGTCTGTAGCTATCGACTCTGCAGACAGTTGGCAACTTCTGTGTGCTTCAGCATACGCTGACCCCGCATGCATTGACCCCGCATGCGTTGACCGTGGAATATTTAGTAGCAAGGAAATTTCACGGAACAACTGAATCTAATGATTTGGAAGGGCGTCCCAATACTTTTGGCAAGTATATATATATATATATAGACACAGTATGTGTGTGTGGTGTCATTGTAGTGTGTTTTAATAAAATAATCATTCCAGTATTTATTTTGCGTCTGGTCTTCTATTTCCCGTCTCGGAATCCTCTGTAACATTTCCTTGTTTCTTTGTTTCCTGTTCTCAGGACCCGAAGGCTGCAACCTGTTTATCTACCATCTGCCCCAGGAATTTGGGGACGCCGAGCTCATGCAGATGTTCCTGCCTTTCGGTAATGTCATCTCCTCGAAAGTGTTTGTGGATCGGGCGACAAACCAAAGTAAATGCTTTGGTGGGTAAAGATAACAAAATAATTAGCTTCATCCCGGAATTAAAGATTAAAAGGGATTTTATTTCTTTCTCTCTAAACGCTCACCTGTTAGACTGCTTGATTTTATTATTTCAATCATTTTATTTTTTTATTATTATTATTTAATTTTTTTCTGCTCCCCTTGTAGCCTTGTGCTTCTTTGTCTTGTACGCTCTCGGCACGCTTTTCGGAAACAATTTCCAGATGTAGTAAAAAGGTTTTATGACATGGAATGGGGGGGCTGTTCACACTTGTGTTCCCCTTTTTCCCCGCATACGTTGACGCATTTCAGAGTAGGTTGCGCTGAATACGCCCATTCATGTTTAATGGACCTTCAATGCACGCCCCGCCTGTTTTCCTTTTTTTTTTTGCTGAGGGTCACGTGCACTTGTTTTGTGCATTAAGGTGCAAGTAAAGATGAATGGTGATACAATGCATGGCCCATAGACTGTGTGTTGTACATCTCTCAGCATGCACAAGTGTGAATACAAACGGAAGGCTCATTCCATCCAAAAATGATCCAAAAATGGGTTTAATTGCTTGCCGGCCTCCACTAGCCCATGGGGACTCCAGCAGGGAAGAAGAGTTATCGTCTGTGGCTTCCTGTCCCAGTGACAACCTTTCCCCCAGGGGCAGGAAGTAGGGAGCGGTCACAGACTGGTGATATAAAGGTGACAGAAATTGTGAGTCTTCCCCACTCTATCCCAAAAACAAATTGTGGACGGAGGCCTTCCCTTCAGTCTTGCACAGTTGTAGCGGCTCCTCTCCTCTTACTCTGATTTCACTGTACACTGGGAGCGTCTCACAATGTGCATTGGAAGCTGCAGCAAGTCAGATAGAACCCGTCTCATTTCCTGGCTGGAGGACACTCCGCATCCTCTACTTCTTGACTTCCCAGCCCTGGCCCCGCCCCTTTCATTCATTCGATCTCAGTTCTTTTAATCGTGGAGGCTCAGCATCGCATGTTGGTGTTACCTAAGGGTGATCATCATGCAAATGTATTCTGCCTGTGAATGCCTACTTCTCCAGACTGGCACCCACCCATCAAGACATTAGGATATTTGCATAACTCCTCTCAAGAGCCAGCCCACTGCTTGCATCAGGACTGAGGGCACTTTAGGGGAGTACGGAGTGCTGTGATGTTTTTCAGGAAGCTATGTACAGCACCCTGCATAGAGAAGCACAAAGACCTAAATAAGGGTTTAAATTAAAGTATTAGATGAAAATGGAAAGGTTTTATTTAAATATGTAGCTAGTTTGTTAGTGGGGGTGGGGGAGGGGAGGAGAACCAGGGAAGGCAAAAGGGGAACTTGTATTAGAGAGGGGGGAAGGCCAGAACCACTGTCAGATTTTTATTTCTGGTTGTGCAGAAGGTATAATATCCAGATGTCATTTTATTCTATGTTTTGTATTATAAAAAGACAACGCGTTTCAGGGATGCCCCCTTCACCAGGGCTCGGTACTGCTGAATGACATGTGTACTGGAATTATGATTATTATTATTCTACAGGGTGCATATAGCACCAAAATGGGGGGAGACAGAACAGATACAAAACAATTTCAATACAGGAGGGTTAGGAGGGCCCTGCTCTTAAGAGCTTACAATCTAGGAGGACTGATAACATTGGAGGGGTTCTGAGGAGTAATCAGTGTGACCTTTCCAGATTTTACGTGTGACCGACATGTAGAGCAATCATGCCAAGTGCTGCTCAGGATCCAACTTTATCAGTCCAATACACACTTTGTTCAACAATGCCAGGCCCCAATGAAGGAAATTCTGACCTCTGCCACATCATGGCTGTGGCAGGGGTGCCTCTGCTCCATTCTCCATTCATATTATAATGAGTAACTCAAGCTGGTCATGGCAGGTGGGCAGAGCTGGGAAATCTGCTGAGAAGACCACCACTGGTCCACCCAGACAGGACATTTTCATCTTACATTGAGTCTTATCGGCATAGTCACCCTCCGACTTGTGGATTTCCCAGTTAGTTCCAGCTAACCCATTTTGGAGTCTCACTCCTGATACTATCTGGGTGCTCCCAGTTGTGTCCCTAGCATTTTTGCTGCCTGGGGTGGGGGAGCTCTACAGGTGCCTCCAAACATGAGAGTGATGCCGCCCTCTGCAGGTTCTGCATCTTTCTGCCAGGCTCTTACCTGGGATGCTCTGGCTGGCAGGACATCGCTGGTTGGCAGGAGCAGGGCGAGACTCAAGCCCGAGCATCCCAGTTTGCTAAGAGTCGGGCGGGATACATGTGTGGCCCCTACACATCTCCCGTCCGGGATGCTCTGTCCTGAAAGGGTGCGGTGGGCACACTGCAAACATTGTGCAGCAGAGCGGCCACTATACATCAAACCTGCCCCCCCCCCCCACCTGGCCAAAAGGGATGCCACCTGAGGCAACAGCCTCAGACTGCCTCATTAAAGGGGATGGCCCTGGGTGTTCCTATCTGTGCCCGTTCCTTCTGCTGCAAAAATGTCAAGCAAGAAATAGAAGAAACCGTTTGGGTGGGGGTTTTAACTCTCCAGCATCAACCAACAACAGAAATATATAAATATATCCATTATCAAGTGTATATAAAGCCAGCTTTTGTAAGTTTTGGATAAAATAAGGAATGGTTAAAGTTGACCTGCGAAAAAAAACCTTTCATAAATCAATATATTTATATATTCTGCAATAAATACACAAAAGATATAAATCCACTTTGTATTCACCAAATGCTTTTGCATTACCATGTAAATGTAGCTGTGATATCATCACTGTGCTGCATGAGACCAGTCACCCTGCACAAGGAGAGAGAGCGGCAGTGACCCGTCTTTATTACAGGAGGGGGCGGAGACCAGACCAATCACCCTGCACAAGGAGAGAGCAGCAGTTACCGGTCTTTATTACAGGAGGGGGCGGAGACAAGACCAGTCACCCTGCACTAGGAGAGAGAGCAGCAGTGACCGGTCTGTATTATAGGAAGCTCCAAGTCTCACACTGGATTACTGTACAGATCTGGCAGAAATACACAAAGCTCACAGGACACAAAATCTGCTGATCCCGGAAGTTCAGCTTTAAAACCCTTGTCAGGTTTTGTTTTTTCCATCTCTGTCCTGTAAGGGGGAGTTGTCTTCACTTCCTGTCCTGGGACACAGCAGGAAGTAAGAGGAGATCTCTCCAAAGGGAGATGATAAGCCTATTAGACTGTGTCTGAAGACTCTGTTTTGGTGACACCTCTAACGTTTTGGGTTTCCCATCAAATTCTGTCCTAGCGTAAATGGCATCCAGGACAGATAGAGAGTGGGAATTCCCCCAGCGGAGACACAGACAGCAATAAACAAACCTGACAGGGGTCCCAACCCTTCCCAACTTCATCTAAATCTAGAAAGTTATGGCTTTGTATACACTTTGAGGGGTCTATTTTTAAACAGTTAGCAGAGCCGTTCCCCCTGTGTGTCTCTTCCAACGTTCGTTCTGTGTGAATGTTCAGGCAAAAGCAAACGTGTAGCTGCCCTGTGCGGTTATTTTTCTATGACCTCTCTGACATGTGACTGCCCCCAAGTCTCTTGTGCAGTAGTATACTGTGATAAGGAACTGAGTCTTTTTAGGGCTCGTTCACACCAGTTGCAGTGCGTTCCGGCCCAATTCTGGCCAGAACGCACTGCCTCGCATTGCAGCCGGCTCACTTTTTTGGGGGCAGGAGGGGGTCGTGGCGGGCCATTGGAGTGAATTGCACCATAGCCATGCCCTCCAGCCGCAATGTGATTGGCCGCACAGGATCACAAGGCACATTATGCCTGCGGTCCCGTGCGGTCGGAGGGCGTGGCTATGGTGCCATTCACTTCAATGGACCGCCACGCCCCCTCCTGCCCCACAAAAAAAGTGAGCCGCCCGCAATGCGAGGCAGTGCGTTCGGGCCAGAACGCACTGCATCTGGTGTATCTCAACCCAAAAACAAAATCTAATATGTTGCAGTTTACCAATCCATGGATGTGGTGACTGCATTCGTTTTCTTTTTTTTTAAGCCTTTCTCCCCTTTAGTTGATCCGTCCAGTAACACACTTCCTCCACTCTATGGAGGAGCAATGGAGCCACCCAGGGACAGCAGCACTGTCACCTTGTAGGGAGGGTGGTGTTAGATACACTAGATTTGACTAACAAATCAGAGCTGAGCTCCAGCTAACACTTTTTAAGCAATTTTTCCTTTTGGGATAAATATGTTACATAGATAAATAAAATCTGATCATTGGAAGCACCCCTATTAGTGTTAAATGGTTTGTCCCAATGCTCCATCTATCACTTTTGCCCACTTCAGGACCACCGTACGTATATAAACAGCGCTTACATGTGGCACGATCTCTGCTTTGTCAGCTCCTTCGGGCTCCCTAGATGACACTAGGGGTCTAATAGACCCTTGATGTCTCCATGAAGTGGACCTGTCACATTTTCTTTGCAATCACATAGGGGGCTTGTTAGCGATTAAAAAAACAACGTAAAAAATGAAAGTCACATATATTTAAAAAAAATGAAAAACCACAAAAAAATTGTCTTAAATTCCCCACCCCTATGTACACCACATACAAATGCAAACATGCGTTGGGTGCGCCTACATGCGAAAACGATGATTGTGCCGCGCATATTTTACTATAACCACGAACATTGGAGCGTGAGTAATAAATTTATTGCCATCAGTCAGTGTTAACACTAAACGGATGAGCGTTAAAAGCTTTAAAAGCGTCCCATATGGCCAATTTTGGGTATTGTAGTTTTTCTGATATTTCAAGGGCGCACGCAGATTTGAGGCATGATGGCTTATTGAGGCTTCACTCATCCTCATAGTTTTAGCCGACCTGTGACAATGAGACTGTTACAGGTCAGCTCAGTAGATCGGGAGGTGAGCGAACACATACCGTCGCTCGCTCACTTCTCGATCATCTCCCTGCAGAGAGCCGTCACAGGGGAGGGACTGGATTCCCCCCTCCCCGCTCCGATCCTCCAG